TCCTTCAGTTTTTCCTCTTCTTGCTCCACGACAGTCTTCTTGCCTAGAATTACGGCTTGTCTTCTATGGTTATCAAATAGGAGCAGAAAATTGGTTGTTCCCTGCGAGGAACATTGAAGTTGCCAGCGTTTTGAGACCTCATCAAATATTTCGGACGGAACGGACATTTCAGTCTTTATGAAATTGAACAGGAAACTCTTTAAACTCTCTGCCCCTTCTTCCCATGAAGGGTCGCATTTGCTATCCAAGGGAGAAATGTTAAGGATCAAGCCATCTGAGAATTCAGCCTCTACACTGTACTTCGCGAGTAACGTTTGCAGTTCACTCTTGTGATGATCCTTAATATATTTGTAAATATCCGGATCAAACGTCACCTCCATTCCCTTAGATGCTGCGTTTTCGAGGAAAGGGTAATAGGGCGTCACTTCTAACTCGACTCCATCAATTTTGTGTGCCTGTCTCTGGCTTCTTGCAATGACATCTTGAACACCTGAATAGAAGAAACCCTTCAGTATTCTTTCAGTATTATTAATAAACAACATACCTACAGCCACGTACCGATCAAATAAAGATTCAAAGCCCATATTATACAGCGTCTAATGCAATATACTCTTGTCGATACTTCCACTGAACACACTTTTGCTTGGTTGCCAACCTCGGTAGTTAGCTCTTAACTTAAAAAGCAAAACACTTTCCAAATCATTGTTCAAAAAATTGTTGCCTCACAGATGTCTTCGAGATACCTAACAAGCATAGCTGTACTGTGATAATTGTTTGTAACTGAAGAATTATGCAATATTAAATCCCATGCATGCCAATTTGCCACTTTGTTTCGCCCATATGTCGTATAAGTAATAGAACAAGCAGATGGCGTACCTATTGACGGTTTTTTCCATAAAAACAAAAGATGACCTTAGGGACCACTCATCATTTACCGCCAGGAGAGGGGGGGGGGGGGCTGAAGTTTAAGGGGGAACAACATGGCTTTCAGGAGTAACGAAGGGGGAGGAAGATTTAGACGTTGCTGATAGAGTTTAGAGTGGGGAATATAAAAAACTGAGGGTTTCTTTTATCCCATTCATCCCCGCTCTCCTCTCTTCATCCTTTGTGATCCTGGCTACGCCGGCCAAGGTTTTCTTTTGGGGTCAGTTATTAAATTAAACTGGTAAAATGTGGAAAAATATGTATTTAAAGCTAAAATTTCATTTTATCAGGCTCACAAGCCACACAGATATAAAAGGTAACTTGCTGTTCTGCTTCATTCAGTCTAGGGGAAATTTATCTACATAGATTAAGAATGGTATTTGCACATTACCAAAATGGGAGGGAAATTATGAAAATTCTAACTTTC